CGACCGGCGCGACACGACCATGTGTTGTACTGCGGTGGCGCTACCGTCGCAATTTCGAAGCGCCCCCTGGTTGGGCGAATCGATTCTATGCTCGCGCTTCTTGAGCGCCAAGTTCGAGCGATGGCGTGGACGTACCTTGCTCGACGAAAACTCGCGCTTGCACTGTTGGTGCACCACCTGCGCCGCAAGCGTAGGCGGCCAATGCACATACGGTACATCTTTGACAAGCGTACGGTCTACGGTACTCAAGCTTCCTCGTGTCGTAGACACACGGGTGAGGACGAATTCCCTCGATCAGCTTCTCCACGACCGAGTCGGATTCTTCGAACATGGCGCCACACGCAGTAGTGCTCCCGTGGCTCCCGTCGTCTGCTATTGCTCGTATTCGCCGCGCTGCCCGCGCGGGGGCTGCCGGGAGCCAGCGCGTGATGCATCCTGGTCCGGCGTCGCCGGCGCGGCCGGCGCGGAATACGGCATGCTCCATTTTGGCGTCGAGGCGGTCAGACGGCGTCGAACGCCGCCGGTCGCGTCGGTTACGCCACGACGCCGGAGTATAGAGCGTCGGGTTTTCGCCGACGTGACGTCGCTGTGACGCGCTCGCGCGCGCGCACGCGTTACGTCGGAGTATAACAGAGCCTTTAAGGACAATGTCGAGGACGACGTCAAGGATAGCGTCTGGTCGACTTCATGAACGACCTCCAGGACGATCTCAAAGACGCCCTCTAAGACGACAGCGAGGACAGCGTTTAGGTCGACGTCGAGGATGACGTCATAGAGGACGTCGTCAAGAAAGACCTCTAGGACGACCTTTAGAACGACCTCAAGGACGTCAGATAACGTCAGCCTCGAATGACCTACCGAGGAGCACTCAGACCCTCGTCCGCCGCCTCGCGACCAACACTGTCCTATCCCCGGCGCTGCGCCATAAGTTCTTCGGCGACGATCCCGACGAGGGGGTGTGTCGCCGGTGCCGGAGGACCGCGACGGCTGTTCATGTTGTCTGGGAGTGCAAGCGCCACGCTAGCCTTCGGAAAACGAAACTGGAGGAACTCCCAGACGAGATCCGTCCGGTGACGCATGTCGATTGGATTCTGCCCACCAGTCGTGACAAGACGATCGTCTCCCTGCTGTGGACAAAGCTGGCGGAGTTCGTCTACGACAACGACGGCCCCACTGGACGACTTTGCAGCAGCCGAAGGCGCTGGGACCAGCATTCACCCTGACCGCCATGACGGCAACGGCAGATCCTTAGGCCCGCACCGATGCAGGCGACAGTGGTACATTATATGTGTGTATGGTATATATATATATATATATATATATATATATATATATTGTAGCTGAAGTCGGATTCAGTGAGGGGGGTTTATTATTTACACGGGTATTGGAGATAGAAATCAAGATGACCTTCCGGTATATATTGCCGCTCGTTCAGTCTGTCCTTCCTCTTCCTGTTCTCCCAGGATGGCGTGTCCCCGAAGACTCGTGCCGCTTCTCTTCGTCACAATATATCCTCTTCGCAGAGGTAGCCATCCTGGCGAGGGTGATGTTAGGGCTGGGAGATTGGCGGGCTGTAGACTTTAAGGCGGTTCACATGAGCTATTTCACGACCACGTCGGCGGCGATCAGTAGGTGGCGAAAGGGGCTCGATTTCATAGTTGACTTCTGAAGTCTGGCGAAGCACACGGTAGGGGCCGTGGTAGTTTGAAAGCAATTTCTCACAGAGACCGGGATGGCGTTGCGGTGTCCACAACAGGACAAGATCACCCGGTTTGAATGAAAGAGGGTTGGACGCGGCATCGTGGCGGCGTTTTTGTTGTCCTTGAAGGTTGGCAGTGCGTGTCCTTGCTATCTGACGGCATTGCTCAGCATGTTCTCGGATTTCGGTGAGTGGTGTGCATTCAGACTCCTCCGGCGAATAGGGCAACAGGCTGTCGAGTATTGAAGAGACCTCCCTCCCATAAAGAAGAAAAAAAGGGGAAAATTGGGTAGTGTTTTGAACGGCGGTATTATAAGCAAAGGTTATGAATGGAAGAACCTTGTCCCAATTTCGGTGATCAGGGGAAATATACATGGCAAGCATATCAGCGAGTGTTCGGTTGAAACGTTCAGTCATGCCGTTGGTCTGCGGATGGTATGGTGACGTTGTCCGATGAATAACGCTGCAAGCTCGTAAAACCTCTTCCACAATTTTTGAAAGGAACACAGTTCCGCGGTCGCTAAGGAGCTCTTTCGGAGCTCCATGACGGAGAACAATCTGGTTTAAGAAAAAATTGGCGACATTTTCTGCTGTCGCCGAAGGTAAAGCAGCGGTTTCGACATAACGGGTGAGGTGATCAATGGCGACGATGGTCCATCGGTTTCCAGACGAGGAATTCGGAAGGGGACCAAAAAGATCTATCTTGACGCGCTGGAATGGTCGTTCTGGGCACGGTATGGGCTGGAGCAGACCTTGAGATGAATGGGAAGGCGACTTGCGACGTTGGCATTCGGGACATGATCTTACAAACTTTTGAACGCTGCCATAAAGCCCTGGCCAGTAGTACCGCAGACGAGCCCGAGTGTAGGTCTTGAGAAGTCCTCCATGAGCACATGTTGGATCGCTGTGGAGATGTTCTAAAATCTCACGTCGTAAGTGACGAGGGATAACGAGAAGCCAATGGAGACCTTCCGGTGAACAGTTGCGCCGGTAAAGGAGCCCATTCCGAATGCGGAAATGTTGGGACTGCCTTCGTAGTGACCGGTTTTGGGACGAGTCAGGGTCTCTCACAACTGTCAGAACTTTCGATAGCCACGGATCTCTTGCTTGTTCGAGTTGCATGTCGACAATATTTAGTGCCGACAAGGTGAGAGGGTCTTCGTCGGTGTCAGATGGATCGGGTGCGTCAGAGCGCAGGAGACATCTCGAGAGGCCGTCGGCGTCGCCATGTTTGCGGCCAGATTTATACAGAACCGCGAAGTCGTATTCTTGTAGGCGCAGCATCCATCGACCAAGGCGTCCAGTGAGATCTTTTAAAGACGATAGCCAGCAAAGGGCATGATGATCGGTCACAACATTGAAACGTCGACCGTAAAGGTATGGGCGAAACTTCGTGACTGCCCACACGACTGCCAAGCATTCTTTTTCGGTTACGGTGTAATTTTTTTCGGGTTTTGAGAGAGCCCTACTAGCATAGGCGACAACGTAGTTATCAAAACCTGCTTTTGTCTGTGCGAGAACTGCTCCGACTCCAAAGCCGCTGGCATCAGTTCGGAGTTCTGTTGGAGCAGTGGGGTCGAAGTGCCGGAGTATTGGGGTGGATGTTAGAATTTCCTTGAGCTGATTGAAGGCAGCTTCACATTCAGATGTCCAAGAAGGCAGGTGAGACGATTTCTTCAAAAGGTCATGCAGGGGTGCTGCTAGGGATGCGAAGCCACGCACAAAGCGTCGAAAATAGGAGCAGAATCCAAGAAAGCTTCGCAGTTCTTTCTCCGTGGTTGGCTTTGGCATGTTGGAAACGGCCTGAATTTTCTCAGGATCCGGCTGAATGCCATCTTTGGACACGAGGTGACCCAGAACTTTCATTTGCCTCGCCGCAAATCGACACTTCTTGACATTTAGCTGGAGGCCGGCGCGGCTGAGACAGGACAATACGGTTGTTAATCGATGGAGGTGCTCCTCAAATGTCTTCGAAAATATAACTACGTCATCTAAATAACACAGACATATTTTCCATTTCAGGCCTCGCAACACGGCATCCATCATACGTTCAAACGTCGCGGGTGCGTTGCAGAGGCCGAAAGGCATGACGTTGAACTCGTACAGTCCTTCCGATGTAATGAAGGCTGTTTTGTCTCGGTCGTTGGAGGCCATGGGGATTTGCCAGTATCCTGAACGGAGGTCTAGAGAAGAAAAATACTCGGCTCCCTGCAAGCTGTCAAGGGCATCATCGATTCTGGGCATTGGATATACGTCTTTGCGCGTGATCTTGTTTAGCCGTCGGTAGTCAACGCAAAACCTTATAGTACCATCTTTCTTCTTGACGAGGACCACTGGGGAAGCCCACGGACTCGTAGATGGCGTGATGACACCTTTGTCTAGCATGTTGTTCACTTCGTCATCTATTATGCTTCGTTCAGACGCTGAGACACGGTATGGACGTTGACGTAAGGGTTTTTCGTTGCCTGTATCAATGTGGTGGACTACAGACGTGGAACGGCCCAAAGTAGACTGTGGGCGATCAAATATGGTGTTAAATATATGCAGAACAGACAGAATTGAGTCTTTTTGAGACGAATCGAGGTGGCCATCTACAGTGGATAACAAGAACTCGTCTTCGTCATGTCGCTGCTGAACTAATGTACAACAATAGGCAGGAGAGGGAGTATCGAATGCGAAAACCTCGATGGCTTGAGATGGTTCGGCGTAGGCTACAACTTCACCGGCAGGGAGCATTATTGGGAGAGAAGACATATTGAGAGCCATAATAAATCCGTAGCCGTTGTCAAGGTTGAGCAAGGAAAAAGGAACAAGGATACCTGTCTTGCGAAAAAAAACTGCAGATGGAGATGTCATTAGGACTAGCACTTCGAGTTTAGATGACTGAATCGGCAGAAACACAGAAGCAAACGCAGGAATTCTTGTGTCATCAGTTAGAAATAATTTGATCGTGTCGACAGCGCCATTTTCTTCAGGAAGCCGAATTTCAGCGAAGTCCACCTCTGCACGTTCACAGTCAATAAGGGCATTCGTTGCTTCCAAAAAGTCCCAGCCAAGAATCACGTCATGAGAGCAGGAAGAAAGCACCACAAATTCGACGCAGTAACATATATCTTGAATCACAATGCGTGCTGTGCAGACCCCGGTAGGGACAATGTTTTGCTCACCAACAGCTCTAAATGGACGTCCAACAAAAGGGGTCGTGACTTTCCTCAATCGATTACAAAGGTCAGCCCGAATGACTGATACTGCAGCGCCGGTGTCAACTAATGCTTGAACATGCAAACCATTAATTACAATATCAATCATATTTCGTGCAATAGGGCGAGGACTTAAGGATGTAGAAGGATTCGCAGTTCTCGCCTCTGGAACTGCTCCTAGCAGTTTCCCTCTGGAGCGGGAGATGTCGTACGTGGGCGGAGAGGAGACAGCGAGCGTCGTGTGGGAGACGGAGATCTGCTTGGTCGTTGCTGCCGTTGGTAGTCAGAGTAATCTTGGAAAGCATCACTTCGACGACTACAGCGAAGCCTGGTCGATTTGTTCTTACACGTGGGCAAGTTGATATTGTGTATTTTGACTTATCAAAAGCCTTCGATAAGGTTAATCATGACTTACTCTTGTATAAGCTCTCTTTATACGGCGTTTCGTCGTCTCTTTTAAACTTATTCCGTAGTTATCTGTCGGATAGAAAGAGTAGAATAAGAATCTTGAATAGTTTCTCAGATGTATTTACTCCAACTTCGGGAGTCCCTCAGGGATCGAATTTGGGGTCGCTACTTTTTCTTATATTCATCAGTGATATAGAATTGTGCATACAAAATGCGAAACTGCTCTTATTTGCGGACGATATTAAGCTTTATCTTAGTATCCATTCGGAAGATGATTGTGCTCTTTTGCAAGAAGATGTATCACGTATCTCAAACTGGTGCTCATGTAACTTTTTGCTGGTCAATCCAGATAAAACAAAAGTGCTATCTATGTGCAGAAAACGCGAAAGAATTTTACATCAATATTTTATCGGCAATTCCACTATTGAACGTGTGGAACAAGTTCGTGACCTTGGTGTCTATTTCGATAGTAATCTTACCTTTTCATATCATGTTACACAAATTGTTGCTTCTGCCTTTAGAACAATGGGGATGATATCACGTTTGACGCATGATTTTTCAAATATAATGTGCGTAGTTCGATTGTTTTGTTCCCTTGTACGAGTTAAACTTGAGTTTTGTAGTTCAGTGTGGAATTCGCTAACAATGACCGACGCTGCACGGATAGAAAGAGTTCAGAAGCGATTTATACGCCTTGTTTACGATAGATATTTTGATAGAAAATGTTATTTTGATTATGAATACCTTCTTAGAGAACTTTCACTCCAGAACCTTTTAAAAAGAAGGATTGCTCGTGACATTATATTTTTATACAAAGTGGTTCACGGCCAAATTGATAGCAATCTTGTGTCGTCTTTGAACTTTCATGTACCGGCCCGAGTCGTTAGAAACTCAAGCGTGTTTTATAGATCTATCCAAACGAGACCGTCCCCTTTGGCTAGAATGCAAATTTGTTTAAATGAATTTCCGACTCATGTAGACATATTTTTAAATTTTGCTGCGTTCAAACGACTACTTGATATGCATATTTTTGGTTTATGATTGTGAAATTTTTAATTTCGAGAGCATATGTCGGGGGGGGCTTGAGATTGTCTACTGTTTTAGGTGTTTTTTTGTTTTTTTTTTTCTCTTTTTAAACTTTTTATGTGCCACCACACTGTAACCAATAGGTTGTTCTGGGGCATTATACAAATAAAGGATTATTATTATTATTATTATTTTTATAGTGAGCTTGTGGTGGGGGACCATAACTTTCAGGGTACCGACGTCGACAAAACCGAGCGACATGTCCAACCAGACCACATGAAAAGCAAATTGGTCGATTCTCCGGGGTCCTCCATATGTCGGCTCTACGTCCTTGCCAACGAGGGGGAGGAAATGGTTGCTGGGGTTGGACGACAGGCATGGGGGGCGGACGCGCTACCATTTCGGCGTAAGTAGGCGCGAGCGGCATTGGCATGGTGGGCAGTATCACAGGGTTAGGGATAGCGGCTGTGACTTGCTCTTGAATAAGCGCTCTGATGGAAGGTGAGACGTAGGGCTCTGGGGAAGTGGCAGGCTTTCCTAGTTGGCGAGCCACCTCGTCGCGGACGATTTCCTGAATGAGATATCGAAGGTCACCCCATTTATCGGGAGGACAGTCCGCAGCGTTATTCAAGCTAGCTAGCTCCATGGGAGGCTGCGGCTTGCGGCTGAGTGGCAAACGCTGGGTGCGCAGCTCAGAAAAGTTTTGACAAATATCGATGGCTTCAATGACGGTCGCGGGCGCTCTGACGACAAGAATTTGAAATGCGTCTTCAGCAATTCCCTTCATGATGTTTTTCAGTTTTTCGTCTTCCGGCATCTGTGTGTCAATGCGCTTGCACAATTTTAGCACATCTTCAATGTAGCTGACGAAGCTTTCATCATTTTGTTGAACCCGTGATGCCAGGGTTCTTTTTGCTATCAGCTTTCGCTGGGCTGGCTTCCCAAATACTTCCTGAATTTTCGATTTGAACAGAGTCCAGGTCGCCAGCTCTGACTCGTGATTGGTGTACCATAATTTAGCGACGTCAGTCAAATAAAAAATAACGTTATTGAGTTTCAGCACATCATCCCATTTGTTAGGAAGGCTTACTCTTTCCACGGACTCCAACCAGTCATCAATGTCATCGTCGCCGATCCCGCTGAAGAGCTTCGGGTCACGTTGGCGAAGTGCTCCGGCACACAGAATAGTCGTGGGTCCTTGGTTGGAGGTAGCCGATCTTGAAGCATCCGAGGTTCCTTCGCCTGGCATTGCTGATGGTAGTCGCCGATTGCGGAGTTCCAGGGTTGGGAATTATACTTGCGAGTGAGGTCCGAGTTGGGGAAGTTCGCACCTCCACCAATTGTAGCAGAAGTCGGATTCAGTGATGGGGGTTTATTATTTACACGGGTATTGGAGATAGAAATCAAGATGACCTTCCGGTATATATTGCCGCTCGTTCAGTCTGTCCTTCCTCTTCCTCTTCTCCCAGGATGGCGCGTCCCCGAAGACTCGTGCCGCTTCTCTTCGTCACAATATATATATATATATATATATATATATATATATATATATATATATATATATATATATATATATATATATATATATATATAAACAACGGTCATGGTGGCGGGAGGCCGAAGGCGTGGGTATAAAACTGAGAAGAAAAAAACCCTTAGTGAAAAACAGCAACAACGGACGATTTAATCTTCGACGTTTCGGCCGGAGTCCGGCCTTCGTCAGGAAGGGCATGGTAGCTTCCTGACGAAGGCCGGACTCCGGCCGAAACGTCGAAGATTAAATCGTCCGTTGTTGCTGTTTTTCACTAAGGGTTTTTTTCTTCTCAGTTTTATATATATATATATATATATATATATATATATATATATATATATATATTATATATAACAGGGCAATTAAGAACGTTCTAACAACGGCTACCAACGCTTACGAGCTTACACGACCGGCGCTTACGCGAACGGAGCTTACGCAATCGACGCTTACGTGACCTTGCACTTCAGCCGCAGGCATTACGTGACCTTGACGACATGACCTTAAGGACGTGACCATAGGGACCCGACCTGGAGGGCGAGTACATGACCTTAAAAAATGTATGGGCCTGTGAAGCTACCACTTTAAAAAAAAACGAACTGCAACGTATCTGACAAGATTAACTACACCACGTGCGAGAGGGAGGTGTTATGTCAAATCTCACTGTCATGTGGACAATGTTACATTGGACATAGTGGCAGGTGCATCAATGACCAGACGAGGGAACAGGCAGCTTCGCGGAAGGCACCCACAGCAGCAGGGCACCTACCAGCTCAATGTCGCGTGTGTCAGTGCACGCCAGAGTTTCCTAGCATAAACATCCTTGCAAGAAACAGCAACAAGTTCGCTCGAGAAGTTCTGGAGGCACTTGTTATTGGCGGCGTGCGCGAACTACAGAGGGCGCTTCTCTAGCTATCATCATCATTTGTGACGTCGTGGGTAGGACAGTCGCCGCAGTTCTTGGATAACTTGGCTCGTCAGCTCGTTTCGTGCGCTGTTTTGGTAACGCGCGGCAAAGCCTGTTTGACGTGTTGTGTTTATTTGGTGAAGCGATATGTGTAGTAGGACATTTTATCGAAGCTTAAAAATGTGGCACGCGTAGCCGTGATGACAAACACTTTTGGCTCGGAGGTGTCGATGCGCAGGGATGGTGGTGTGCTGTTCTCTACCCCAGCACAAAAAACTGGATAATGAATATAAAGTTTGCTGAGCATTACTCTACGGCAACATTTAGCTACCACGGCGAAAAAAGGTGTATTTTTTTATTATGGTTAAAAAAAAAAACTGAGAAAGAAATGTGTCGTCAAACTCAGAATAGAAAAGCGAAGTTTGAGAACTTCTAGCATGTGTAGCAAATACTACGGTGAAAGCGACTCCTCGTATCTTGTTGGTTTAAAAATGTTCTATCAGTGCTGGTCTCTTATCAGTTCCAAGTTGATTCCTTTTTATATCAAAGCTGTTAATGCGTAGTTTCCCCAGGATCGTGTCCCCCGCAAAGAAATGTCGACACAAAACTCTGGTTGCTACCGTAGCTCATAGATGGCGGTAGCTGTCCGGAGTTTTGTGTTTGCCGGTTGTCCGCTTGCCGCCGTCGCTCATAGATGGCGCAACCTTTCGAGCCTTCCACTCTTGCTTGCCGACTTGCGGCCGACCATTCTTCATTCCCACCACAGCGCAGCTTCGCTGATCTTACTTCTTCACCAAAGTGAAAAGCCTAAAAGTTTTTTTTAATTATGTAAACCAGTATACCAAACATTTTCTCAAAATAACAGGCAGGAAGAAGCGGTGGCTGGCTTCCGGAGTCGTTTCAGTTAAACACCTGCTTATTTACTTGCTCGTCGCGAAACGTACGTGGTCCCTCGCGATCGAGGTCTGCTAAATCTAAGCCGGCGACATTTCAGCGTAGCGAAAAAATGTGGCATCCACCTTATATGAATTACTACCGTACTGCGTTTTACAGAGAGCAAATTGCGCATAATGAGTAATGACCTTTTCAGCGAGCGATTTTATATTTGTAGACAATTCATAATAAAAATCAGAACAAATTAATCAATTGCCTGAATTTGCCGAACCATGGCCTACAATTTAAGAAGTTACGAACATTTCAACTTTTTTTTCGAGCAGAAGACCGTGATGTTGCGAACTTCTTTGCCACGTATTCGATGCGGGAAGAGCTAAGCGTCAGTTGCTGACGAGCATTTGCTCGTCAGCAACTGTTGAGTCACACACGAGTAGAAGCGTCGGTATCGGCAAGCTCAATGTAGCTGAAACAACTGTGCGGCGCATCGCAACACAATTGTGCATGCATGCACAGCTACGATAACAGCACATCATTTACTCTGCTAAATTCAAAACCTGTTTAATGCGAAAGCATTAACTATCCCATGGAGTGAACCGACCTCATCACCTTTAAAGCCGCGCAAACGGAACATTCTCCTGTCCCAGTGGAGCGAAGCCTGTCGTCTAGCAGAAATCTGATGGATAGTTTTTAATACCCCATTCACACGATCATAAAGGTACCTTTAGCTAAAGGACCTTTATGGACAGCGGCGAATCAGCTCGTGATCATCCGCGCGTGGCATGTGCTCGCGATCCATCAGCGCGGGTTGATTCGCCGGATAGAAAGGGAACTATGTTAAAGGTACCTTTATGCTGGTCGTGTGAATAGGGTATAATGGGCTGGCGCGCGTCATCAAGGAACGAGGCTCCCGTTAACACTCGTGCAACGTAGTTAAAGAAAAAAAATTAAAAAAAAACGCCACCAGAAAAGCCTTTTCTTTGGCGGCGCACCGCACCGAAACGGGCAGGGGTGGGGATTAAATCCAGAGTTTCCGGGTTCTGCAGCGTGAGTGACATTTAATGTAGATACAACAAAAAAATGAAGTGAAACGCGATATGGATGAAGAAAAATATTATCTTAAAAAAACAATTTCTACCCCAACGATGTGCATGCCTTACTGTCTCTTTCTGTATGTTACGTTTCTTCATGTTCGGCTGGCACCACACACACACACACACACAAACACACACACACACACACACGTATATATATGTGTAATGTAGATACATGTCTAAAGTGTAATTCTACGGACCGCGCGCGCTGGCCTGCCTCTAATAAAAGATTCGAAGTAAATAATCATAATAAGGTTCTGACGAACGAGAGTGCAAGGCAAAATTTGTTTTAGACTTTTTGCTTTAGAACAATTACTACTGCAGACGCCAGCACGTGCAACGCGTGTAACTACACTCGTAGCATGCACCTCGGCGCTTGGGAAATTTTAGAAAAAGGTCAATTGGGATGCTGTCTGCTTTTGTATGCTATCAATACACGGGCGATTGAGTCAAGGCAATCCGCTTTCTAAAGACGTTGCCATGCCGACAATTATCGAGTTCATTTAGGCTTAGGAATGGCCAGAATCAATAGACTATCTAAAAAATGCGGCGAGGTCATTGCTCATGCTTTGCAGTTTAAGTGAGGTAAGGCAAAGCGAAAGCCTCTTGCGCCACTCGTTGCTGTCTAACGCGCCTAATATTGCAGCTATACAACGACATATTAGTCTTAAAGCGAGCGGCGCTCACTCACCGGGGCGCCGCCATGTTTCCCCGCATCCCTACCGCCAGTCACGTGATTTCAAAGTCCCTCTCCTAGGTTCTATGACTAACTTTAGCCGCGATTAGCGCTTCGAGCAAACAGGCCCAGGGTATCATGTGAACATCCCGTTCGTTCATGTTCATGTTGAATCTGAGATGTTCCTCTCCTTTTGCAGCGCGAGTTCTCACTCCAAATCGATTGCAGGGGTATGTGTTTTGGATTCCAGGAAATATTTTCCTAAATAGTTGATCTCCAGGAATGGCAGTAAGACGCCATTGAAAGTTCTACATCCAAAACACTGGGATACTTGCGACGCAACCTTTTCTCTGCCCCCCCCCCCCCCCCCAATCTACGCAAGTGAATATTTGAATTTGCTTCCGCTGTATGAAACCCCCACCAAAAATACCTTATCAATAAGATAGAAAGCATCCAAAATCATGCAGTTCGTTTTATAGCATCAGTCTACTCTCGCCATACAAGTGTCGCCTTTCTTAAAAACTCTGTCCTCTTACAACCACTTGAAATACGTCGCACCGCTGCCCTTTTATGCATCATTCATAAATCACGCTATTTTAACCCTAACGTTATCGCCCCTCTGCCTGAGCTTCCTAACCGAACATCTCGTCGTCTAACTAACAGCCCAAGGGATAAGCGCATTTTTGGACATACATCTGCTTTCAATAACTCCTCACTACCACGCGCAATCATGCACTGGAATTCTCTTCCTGATCACATAACCGCACTTGCCGACCTTACAGCATTCCGAGTAGCAGCTTTAGATTTTTAAGTACTATTTAGTTTTCGTTTACAGTGATGTTCTTGCCCACCTAATGAAGTGTTACGGTTGATAGTGGAGCTTGTTGGTACATACTTGTATATATATTCGACAGCTTGAACCAGGGGAAGATATAGAGAAATTGAGACAGGAGAGAATAGACAGCTGACTACCAACGATTATTTAGTGGGAACTTCTTTTTTCTTGCGTGTTTTCAGACACCAACAAAAATTATTACATATTAAAACCTATTATACTAATCTAATAATGCATGTGTATGTTTACAAAATTTTCACATTACCTAAACCTAAACTAATATTTTAAATTCACCCGCCACAAGCTCATACTGCC